CCTCCCTGGTTCAAGTGATTCTCCTGCTTGAAGTTGTAGCTGGGACCATGGGCACGTAACATCACACCCGACTAAGTTCCATATTTTTAGTAGTGACGAGGTTTCGCCATGTTGGCCAGGCTGGTCTCAAACTCCCAACCTCAGGTCATCTGCCTTCCCTGGCCTCCCAAAGTGCTGGGATTCTAGGCTTGTGCCACAGGCCTGACTGTATTAACTGTAATACTCCTTAGAAACACTTCCAAAAATAGTCAAATACTTCTATCCAGTGGCTTATTGAGATGATTTTGTATAAGAGGTCCTACTGTCCTTCTGCTTTAAAATTGATAATTTGTGTTGTTTTTAAAGGGTTTAGAGTTTCAGAGCCCACGCCTTTATTTCAGCTATTCCTTGCTTCTAAGTGCTCAGAAAATAAGAAAAGGCTAAAATACAACTTTAGAAAATAGAGAGGAAACAGCAAACCTTGTCATCATCTTGGCAGTAAAGAATTACACTCTCCTCCAGGAAACCTAAACAAATAAACAGAAAACGTGCCAATTTGAAGCTGCAAGCTATTTTCTGTGTCCACAACAAATGTTGAATTTATGTTTTATGTTTGAGGCAGATAGTAGAAAAATAATTTGACTGAGCCTAATTTAACCAAAAAAAGTTTAAACAATCCCTGGGGAGGAATAAAATCACTATTAACCTCATGTTCATACATTAGACTGAGAAGTTAAGGGTTTTATTAAGTAATGTAAGTTGTGAAGTGTGAACCAGAGTCCTATAGCCTTTGGAGAGATTTTGAGGGAGAAAAGTGTGTCTTGATTATGAAAATGTAGAGTGTGCTGAAAACAGTAGCTCAGTTATAGGAAGTTGTGAGGGTTCTGGTGCCTGCTAGTGTTTGCAGGAAAGCAAGCCACGAATGCATGGATCTTAGGTGGTAAAGGAACTAAAAATACAATGGCTTTGGCTTGACTTGTGCTGAATTCATGCTAAAGCCACAGTTATTTAATATTGGCCCATACAAAATGCTATCATAATGGGCTATTTATGTTTTGAAGTTACTGCCTTGATTAAGGCCATAGAGCAAGGTCTTGTACACTTCGCAAAGTGAATGGACTTCGAGAAGCTTTCATGCACAGACCCCCCAAACTTGGAATGTTATATTGTACTTCTAAGCACTTAGGTAGCTCCTTCCCTCATCTAGAGTAACCTAAACTGGTACTATAAGGAAGCAGTAGATGGGGAAGAGGCATATTCCTCTTAGCCAGCATGGGATAAAGGACAGTATCCTGACCTGAGCTATCTAGAAATCTAGTAAACACAGAAAATGGAACTTATAGTGTGGGGGGTCTTGCCATCCCCTTTCCTCCATGGAAGGAAGCAAATTGGCCCTTCCTTAATATTCCCCTGCCCAGTGGTCTTATGGTGTGTGTAAACTCATAAAATTCATGCTACATATATGCAACCCAAGGGTAGAATGAGACATCGCCTGCATCACTTTCACTGAGATGCCAGTGTGACAGATAGCAGGACCCTAAAGTGAATCTGAGGCTGATTCCCCCACGCCACAAGAAGATTGCCTGAAGAAATGTCCCCAAGAACCTGCTTCATGATTCTTGGTTTCTTCAGAAATAGAAAAAAAAAAAAAAAGAATCAAAGATGGACAAGAGATCAGTGAAAATTTTCTTTAGAGATAGCTGTTGCCAAGTTGTGAGTCACACTCCCCTTTTCACAAGTGGGAATGGTGCATCCTTCTAACCATAAACCTAGTAAGGAGGGCTTCAAAATACCCTCAGATAGCTTCAACATTGCTCTGGAAAATCTCGGGGCTGGGGAAGCCTGGAGGACAGAGCCAGGAGAGTCTGTTGTGCCTGCACCTCACTGTTCAAGAAAGCAAGTGATATGTGGTGTTTTTCTGGGCCAGAAGTGAGTCTTGTAGAACGAGTCCCATAGAAAGATGTCTTGAGTTCTGCCCACTTAGAGGGAAGAAGAATTCTTAAAAAAAAAAATGAGGCTGTAAGTTTACCTTCAACATGCAGGGCTGAGGATGGGCATTAGAGATTACCCAGAGTAGAGAAGCGTCCACTCAGGTTAGGGGAATTGCAGCATCCATTGATAGAGTCAAATTAAGTGGCTGGCCAGGCCTTCCTCACCAGTGGAATCAGAGGCCAAGACCAGCGAGCACAAAACCGCCCAGCCAAAAAGGAATTTTGCCTTGTCCTTTAACTTCCATTCCCTACCCAAGTGTGGACCTTAGAGAAGACCTAAAGAAAGGCAAGCACAGAGGAAGGAGGAAAGCAGGTGGAGAGGAGACAGCCACAGGGTTATCCCCTCACCCCTACCTGCAGGCTCACAACCAGAGGAAGGTCTAACTGCAGAGAGGAGGAGACTTCACAAAAGTTATGTTTGGCTATTTATGCTGCCTATGCACTGAAGCTGTGTTTGCCAATTAAAATAACCAAAGTCCAATTAAGAGTGAGTACAAAAGCCAGTGGAAACTGCCAAATCATTCATGAGGGCAGGGGAAGTTTACCCCCATAAAAGAAAGTTTAAAGGGACAGTAGATTTGAAAAAGGAATATATTGATAACAATCCATAAGCTTTGCTTTTCTATGTTTAGTTTATAAATAAATGAGGAAAGTTTGGAGAAATATAGCTCTTCATCAGAGCTTTGCGTCATGGGGATGACCTCACGTGACCATGACACAAAGCTCTGGTGAAGAACACATGTGCTCAGACTTAATCCTGGACTTGCCCATTTGTCAGTATGTGGTGGAGTCTCAGCAGCTGTATTTTGGGGGGAAAAATTCCAGAGAATACTGACGTTTACCCTTGATGATAAACAATTTACTTGCATAGATCCATGAATTGTAGGTCAATAATAACAAGTCATTACAACAGAATAGTTTTGGGGAGGAATGTGACTCATTTTTTGAGTCAATTAATTTTGAGCTAGATGAGCCACAGTGTGTAGTATTTCTTGTATTTCTGTGGGGCTAAGCTAATGCCAAAGGAGTAATAGCTAATGCTCCTAAAGAGCAATTCATATGCAAATGTTGGTAGCAGGAGGTATCTTACTTGGGGAACACTAAATTGTTGAATCAGAGAAAGGGGCATTCAGTGAGAAGAACCCTGTTTTGCTCTTTTATGAAGACCATGGCTGGGAGAGACCTTTGAACATCACCACTGAGTTCTGAAACTCCGTTACCTCCAGCTCCTTCCCTTGGAATAAACGCTAGGCAGCCAGGAGTGCATAAGATCTTAAGCAGACTTCATTTCAAATTCAACAATACAGCAAATCACAGTTAAGAAGGTTGAGAGGTAAAAGTTAATGCTTTATATTTTGTGGGGCTGCTAGAATCAGTCTACTACGTTCAGAGTTTTTTTTTTTTTTTTTTGAGTTCTTACCTATTTTGTGATTGGGTCAGCACAGTTTGTAACTACATTTAACAGCCCATGTGGATGTGACAAAATCAGGCTTATATTAAAATTGTTGCAGTAAGAGAGAGAGAATCTACTATATAGAAATCAACCTTTTTTCTTTTCCTACCTGAAAGTACATTTGTGAATTTAGTTGTGAGTTCCTTTAGTATAAAAAGCAATCACAATAATTTCTTCAGAGCTTTACCCTTGCCAAAATGTTCTTAGAGAAAATATCACATTTTTCACTCATCAATACAAGGAAGAAGCTAGGACAAGTACTAAAACCCAACCAAACAGCCTACCTACTGAAGGGAACTAAATACTCCAATTGATTAAATCCAGCTTTCACTCTTCTCCTGGATGCTGTACACAGACAGAGTAACTAAATTTTTTTATGTATACAAATAATACAAGGCATTTATTCATAACGAAAAATTAAGTTAACTTGCTGCCTTTTCAGAAGCATACCTTACCCAGATAGGTGCCTGTGTGAGCCACAGAACATACTATCATGAAGTAGCTCTAGATGCCAAGCACCAAGACCACTATAGACCTCTGTGAGTCAATTTTCTAAATATCTGTGTGACCTTAAATCAGGCTACCAAGGGTAGACTTTCTCTCTCTTATGGCTTGTCATCAATTGTTTTGAGCTGAACAGCTGAGTTGTCAAGGATGAACAAACTTCTGAGAATTTAACAAAGTCCGTTTTTTCATGATTAACAAGCACCTGCCCTCATAGTTGAAGATGATGTGGAAATGACAAAAATGATCACAAGCCAAGACAGAACATCCGAGCCTCACTTAAACTGTGCATTACAAGTTGCATAATTCTGAAATTCTCAATTATAAACTTACAGAAAATAGCCATGAGATCAAATTTAAAAACTCCCCATGTAAGCCCATATGAAATCAAATTAGTAAACCTCCCACAACTCATTTGATTTCCCATATTTCTGTCTATATTTATTGAAATGTTTCATAGACTCTGTTAGTCACAACTCAGGGTTCTAAATAAGGAAAGAGCATCTGGTTTGGGCCCTGATTCCACAGAGTAGCCATGTGACTTCGGTCAAAGCCACTAAATTTCTACTTCTACTCACCATCCTTTTGACATCTGTAAAATTGCAATAATACCAGCTACCTTGCTCACCTTATGAGCTTATGGTTAAGATCACATGGGCTGATATATAAAATACGTGTAATTGTTTGATGAACTGCAGACCACTCTATAAATAACAGACTGTATTATCTGTAAGAGGTCTCATTCACTTAGGCAATACATGTTACAACACGTTTTGATCTTTACCATTGCTGTTTGGAGCTTTTGTCCTTGAGATTCAAATTTTTTCCATGCATTTCCCACACATCATTTCCATTTTTGAGCCTTCTTTTGCGTTGACCTGGCCCTTGACTTTCTAGGCACTGTTTCCTATTTCTGACCTTGATGACAGAGGTGACTTACCAGCGTTGACCTTTGGCAAACATTCGGCCCAAGTCCTGGTCCCCAGGGCTCCATCTTAGTTATGAGCAAGTCTGCTAGTTCCCCCTCCTAGGATATGCCACTGAAATAGGAAAAATACATTTCTTTCTTTCACCTTTCTATTCCCATGCCCATTTCCTGGGTTCTGGCAAAGTGAGTGACTCAGGACAAAAGACAATTCTGTCAGACACCAAAGGATGAAGGGAGCTGGCCCACTATCCACAAGCAGACAGCACTGAGATGACCATGAATCAGCATGTCACAGAGGCACATGGGGTTGGTTCCCAGAGGCAGTGTGAATCAGGGAACAAAGAACCCTTTCCCCTCTTTCTAGGGCAGATCACCTTCCAGGAAGCAGAACACAGCTCACTGTCCTCTGCATTCCAACCCTTTGGGCCGATGAGCTCCTTAACAAAAATAAGCATCACAGGAGAGTTTGGAGAGACTAGGCTGTCTTTTTGTTCCTACTTTAAGGCAGAGATTCAGAGGCACACTATTAGTTATGACACACAGGACAAATCCTTGACAGAATTCTTGAAACTCTGCAGGATGAATTTTTAAATTCCCACAAGAGATGGAATGCAAGAAAAAAATATGATGTATTAGGAGCCTGTGGACAGAGCTTTACAATGTGACACTGAATGTTCTCATCGGCTTTGTAAGGCAGCTTATGGATACTTATCACATGTGCACATCATAAGTTGCATAATTCTGCAATTCTCAATTATAAACTTATAATGTATCATATTGCCCAATATGTTGGCATTCTTCATACATTTTTGGAGTTTCCCATGTTATCAATTTTGTCTGTCAATGGCATAATCAATTCAGGAAAAGTGGCCACTCCAGCCTCCTTTTCAACTATGGTGCGGGCGGATGACCTCAGTCAAGTCCACCAATCAGATGTACCTGCATGAGACTTCCATTTGGAAGTGAGCAATATGAGTGTGCAGATTTTTTGGAGCATTTATATTGCTGACATGGGTGGTGGTAGAAGAGTCCAGCTTTGGAAATGGTAATAACAGTTGCAGAAATCAAGTTCCTGGAAGCTGGATTCTAGCAGGCAGGTGGAGACTGTAGCAGCAGGGTCCTCATGGTGTCACTCCTATAGCCTAGTTTTCATTATGGTTTTTGAGGGCTTAGTCTTAAGTCTATTTCTCTAGCCCTCCCAGCAATTCTTTAGCTACTGAATGTACTTTAAGAAATTCGCTTTTTGAATATGAGAAAACTGACTGACAGAGGCCAAGCAACTGTCCAAAGGTCACACAGCAAAAGATGAGATGAAAATTAAAATGAAACACACACACACACACAAAAACGGTGTCACCTCTATAAGATTTTGAACTGTTTACTGAGAACATTGATTTCATTTTACCTATCCTATTTTGTGTCCTGTAATATTTAACTTATTGATTCAGGCTTCTTCACTCCAGGCTAGAGCCTACAGAGTATGTGATCATCAAGACATCAGGAAGCTTGGGGTTAAAAAAAGGTAATTTTGCAGAGGATTTCAGCTGCCACCCATGGCAAACATTTAAGTGCTACAATGTGCTCTTGACTGAAATGGCCCTTAGTGACTCAGATGTGTCCTTCCAGTGGTGGGTTACGCACTCTGTGACTCTGAGTCATTTCAAGGCAGGCATATGTCACTGAACACAACCCATACTATTTATCAAACAGAAGCACATTGCTGAGGAATGTCACAGCCTTCAAGAGCCAGGAGGCTTGCTAGTGACTCAGAAAGGACCCGGGAAGTGAGACCTTGGCGCTACATGGTTTCCAGCTACACAAGTTACTGCTCACGCCAACATGTTCAAAAGGTGTAAGTACATATGAAGACATTCTTACCCATGAAATTGGACCAAATAGGGTTTGGCCCAGAATGTCAGGCCCAATCAGTAAGTTACTTAGTCTCTACTTCCATAGAAGTCTGAGAAGGGGTCATACATTTTGAGGACACTTATGAGGGTAGACTAGATCCATACTGTGCCTGGAATACATGTTCTGCCTATTATGTTACCACAGAGCAACTTTCACTTTAGAGTTATAAGATGTATATATTTTTAATAAGGCCTTTTTTTCTTTGAATTTGGATAGAAACCAATAGCTTGTTGAGAAGTCCCATATATGTAAAGGATTAAAATGATCAAGAGACCTATTTGTCATAACAGTGGTCTGCTGCCTATGAACACAGAGTCATCGGAGGTGAGGACACATCTGTAGGAGTGTGGAGTCCACTAACCAGGTTTGCCTCCCACAAGAAAGACACTATTTTGCTATTGGCTGAGGAGCTTTATGGCAGAAAGTCCTTAAGTCACGTGGTATCCTGTCCAAGTGTACAAACAGCACTAACTTTTTGGCAGGGCAGACACATATTTTGACACTGGGAGTTAGGATTTCAACATATTAGTTTCTGGGGGGACACAAACATTCAGTCCATAACATATAGAAATAGTGCAATCTTTATTCTCAGACTTCAACATGACACACGAGAGAGAGAGAAAGAGAGAGAGACAGAGAGAGAATGAGAATTTACTAGTATCGCATGTTCACAAGTTACACATTTTAGTGGTTACAAAGATTGACACTGCCATCCTACTATTTTAGCTCATTTCTTTCAGAACCGCTTGTTGTCAATATCTGTACCATTTAAACAGATTCCCACCCTGACTCCACACCCTTGCCCCACTTACTTTTGGCAGCACTAAGCATAGTTTTACTCACAACGTATAAGTCATTACATCTGCAGGCTCTTCTAAGAGATATGAATGTTGCTGCTTGAGAGTTTTCCTGAAGAATTCAATTCCTACAAAATTTTCAATGTCAGACAAACCCACTCAAAAAAAAAAAAAAAAAAAAACTTGTATTTGGTGGGATTTCTCTCGATCCATGTATCCTTGGTCAAATTCCTACAACTGTAGAGGACTAAATACAGGCTCAGATTCACAGGCCAGGACCAAAGTGCACCTGTGGCTGGTACAGAGTGAGGCTCATCTTAGATTGAAATAACTAAGAGATTTCTACCTTGGTTCTTGGACACTCCATTTACGGAAGACCCCTGGAAGTCTGATGAGTAGTAATGAAACTCAAGTTAGAGATTTTGTGTTACTTTTTGTTGTGCCTGATGAACTACAGGTTAACCTCAGAGACACCCAAGATAGCCTGGCAGATTCCTGCAGAAATCTAGGGGCAATCACTGGTCTTAAGCATAGAAGACTTTCAATCAATGAAAATTCACAGTGCACAATGTACAGAAAGCTCTTGTTGAAGACTACTGAAAAAGAGGAACATGGAGTTGCTCTTCTGTTCATCCTAGCCCTGCATATGGGTAAAAAGAAAGCAATGGTGAAGCAAAAATTTTTCGTGGGGCTCATAATTCAACACTAAACATGAATTTATTTCAGACTTCTTCTGGAGCAAAGAATTTGGAATCTTCTGGCACCTCAAGTCTTCCTAATGAACAAAAACTCAGTAATTCAACGAAAGCATCTGACAATATTAAAAGTTCTTAGGAATTAATAAATGTTAAGAGGCATCCACTAGAAAACTCAAACCCTATTACCCACAAGCCAATCTGTATTTTTCTCAATTGAAAGAATTTGGACTTTTTTTGTTTGTTTTAATGTGTGTCTTCCTTCACAATCTTCTGTTGCTTAATGATGTTCTTAAGAGGTAACTTTGAATTACGAAGCTTCCCCATCTCAAATTGGCTTTCTCAAGGGCAAAGGAGCTTCCGGTCAGTTCAGAAGAAGCACTAGCCTAGGAATCAAAAACTCAGATACAATCTGAGTTCTATCACTTAGCAGAGTGGCCTTGAAAACATTTAATATCTCTGATGCTTGAATTCCCTCTCTGAATAAAGAGGAGATTGAACATGATAACCTTCTAGGTTTCATTTAGATATAAAACTTTATATATCATTGACTTATGTAAAACCTATTCCTCATTTGAAAAATATGGAGAATAATAGCTACCATGATTGTCTCATAGGGTATTTTGGAAAAACATGTAAAATGTTGAGGAAAGCAGAGCCTGCATGCATTCCAGGCAATTATGTAAGCCAAGCATTATTCTAAACAATTTATGTACAATATGGCAATGAGCCTGGCCAATAGTGGATTATGCTCTTTACCTACCAGCTTGCTCTATCTTCTAAAATATAATGTTTCTTAAGAAATCACTGCCACTGCATTGTACTGGGGCTATGGGTGAGACTCAAAAAGGCACTTATGAATGTAAAATTCAATCTGATGAGTGTAAAAGGATCAGGGCAAAGAGTAATTATTATGTGCCTAGAAAACAGGGAAATTTGCATATATGGATTCAACAGGAAGGCTCCTTTAACTTGAAATTGTAATTTTTCTTTTATTAATATATCTTTAGCTGCTTAGCACACACTAAATTAACATACAGTGGGTTCCTTCCCCATCTCAACAAAACATAGTTTTAAGTTGAAAGGAACCAAAAAATAATTCAACTCAAAAGATTCATTTGGAAGTAAATAAACTGATGGATGCTTGATGACTTGCAAGCATCACAGGACTAGTTAGTGGTGGTCCTGGGACTCATGTCACTTTTCTGGTCCCTAGTCTGCTGTTCATTCTGTTACAGGTAAGCAGGTTTGGAGAGAGTACGGGAACGAAGACCCAAGAGGAAGGGGAGAATACTAACAACTTTACCCGAGGGCAGTGGTTCACGGCTGTAATCCTAGCACTTTTGGAGGCCGAAGAGGGTGAATTGCCTCAGCTTGGAAGTTCAAGACCAGCCTGGACAACACAATGAAACCCCATCTCTGCTGAAACACAAAAAATTAGCCAGGTGTGATGGCGCTTGCCTGTAGTCCCAGCTACTCAGGCGGCTGAGGCAGGACAATCGCTTGAACCCAGGAGGTGGAAGTTTCAGTGAGCCGGGGGCACACCACTGCACTCCAGCCCGGGTGACAGAGCGAGACTCTGTCTCCAAAAGAAAAGAAAGAAAATTAAATTAACAATTTTTTAGTTCTGTAGTAGGCCCCTCTAGGTACTGATGAAGGAACGACCACGGTTCCCAGTGCAGCAGCCCTGATTCCAGCATTAATAGGTCCTCCAGGATAGAGCACAATCTCAACACAGCCTGACATTTAGATAAGCTAATAGGGCACTCTCAAAAATCCTAATATTTAAAATCACTGATAAAGGTCTAAA